AATCATTTTTGTTGCCCTCCGCTGGACTCTTTCCAATTTTTCCACATCCTTCTTGTAGTGTGGGGCCCAAAACTGGACACAGTACTCCAGATGAGGCCTTACCAATGTCGAATAGAGAGGAACGATCACGTTCCTCGATCTGCTGGCAATGCCCCTACTTATACAGCCCAAAATGCCGTTAGCCTTCTTGGCAACAAGGACGCACTGTCGACTCACATCCAGCTTCTTGTCCACTGTAACCCCTAGGTCCTTTTCTGCAGAACTGCTTCCTAGCCATTCGGTCCCTAGTCTGTAGCGGTGCATGGGATTCTTCTGTCCTAGAGTGCAGGACTCTGCACTTGTCCTTGTTGAACCTCATCAGGTTTCTTTTGGCCTAATCCTCTAATTTGTCTAGGTCCCTCTGTATCCTATCCCTACCCTCCAGCGTATCTATCACTCCTCCCAGTTTAGTGTCATCTGCAAACTTGCTGAGGGTGCAATCTAAGCCATCCTCCAGATCATTAATGATCCTTGGGCCCCTGAATGCCAATGTAACACATACTAAGAGCAGATGCTGCCAGGTCACTAGCACTGTGGAGGATGGTTCATGCTCTGTCCCCAGGAGCAAACCCAGCTGGGAGCTCACAGGTGAGCTGAGATACCACACAGCAGTTCAGCAGCAGCTCTGCAAGGTGCCGTGATCTCTGCCCCATGCCAGCACAGAGTCCAGTCTGCATCAATCCTGGCAGAGTGGCCATGGCGATGCCGGGATCATGCCAGGGATAGCCAGCTGTATGTCCATACTCAGCCCGGATCCTTGGGTTAGTCTGAAAACTGACGCAGACAGGGAGGCAGGAATGCTGCATCCTCGCACACTGAAATACCAACAGTGCCACAACCCCCCTGCCCCAGCCCTGCACCCTCCCACACGCGGATAATGCCAGGAGGTCCGAGCTAGGAACAGCACAGCCTGACAATCTCCCCATGCCCTGCAGGAAGGGGTAGGTGGGAACGGTCTTAGCAGGGACTCTTGACTCAGCCTGCTGGCCAGGAGTAAACTGTACAGCTCCAGGCTCCCTTCCCTGCTCCCTCCTAGATCCGGACGGTGTTGATGCGGAGTGGCTGCACGTTCTTGCCATTCGCGTGGCTCTGGCCAGGACTGAAGTACGAGCAGAGCTTGCCGGGGAACTTCTCCCGGAAGGTGTACAGCCACGACATGTCATCAGCGTTGTAGAAGATCAGGAGCCCTTTGTCATAGTCCAAGAAGACACCTACTTTCTCCAGCTTGCTCTTAACATTGAGCCGGGTCCAGGGCTCGGTGCAGGCGCTGTACTGGTTGCCGTCGTGCATGACGATGCAGTAAAAGCCACGGCTGGGCTGGATCTGAATGCTCCCCTTGCGGGTGACAGCCTCATGCGCCAGCCCAATCATCCACTGGGTCTTCTCCGAGACGATGACCTCCCAGTAGTGCACGCCGCTGCCGAAGGCCTCTGAGCCCAGCACCGACACCTCCACGTCAAAGCGCTTGGGTGAATCCTGCAGCGGTTGCGGGTGCAAGTTGCCATAGGCCACGATGGTGCAGTCATCCGAGAGGATGAGGCGCTGGTGAGCTGTGACAGGGTCCAGCGTGAGGGCTGCTGGCACTGGGAAAGCAAAGGAGGGACAGGAAGGGGCTCAGAAGCTAGCCACACCTCCACACGGCTAGTCAATTACAGGCAAAGCACTTGATTATGTAAAGGGAATGTAAATGCCCCCAAAATAGGGGCCTGCAAGCACCCACCCAGCTACCCTTCACACAGACAGCACTGAGCAATGATCCACAGGGACACCAGAGGGCACTGAGCTGAGGCACGTGTGATGGGGTCAGTCATGTGGCTGGGCAGCCAGCCCCCTGTAACTCCCCATCTGCCCGTGCTGCATGCAGGGACTGGCCCCACAGGCCGGGAAAGCTGTTGGAGGGACCTTCTTGGGACCCTGGAGCATGGGAGAGGCCGCAGAGCTAGCCTCTAACCGGCCCCCGGGACTCACACCTGTGACACTGCTTAGCAATCCCTTTGGCACTGAGGTTTCCTTTAGGAGGAGGAAGATGCAAAGAGCTAGGGAGTGCTCTTATCAGAGTGCAGAGCACATGCACAAATGCGCCAGGGCCTCGGAGATGGGGGCTGATGCTTTGGGGTCTTTCTGGGGGACCCCCTCCCCCTCCCCCTCCGTCCTGAGAGCTCCCCCAGTGGTGGGAGTTAGACACACAGATCAATGCCCTGGGTGAGCTGCTCTGGGGTGGGCTAACAAACACACCAACCAGGTGTGTCGCAGCGCATGGCTCTGCTGGGCTCCCAGCTCGAGATGTATCAGGGTAGCTCTGACTGAGCGAGCACGCTAAAAACAGACAGGTAGCCACGGCGGCACCAGGGGCCGGCCGCCCCACGAGACCCTAGGTGCAGATGCAGGGTGGCTAATGCTCCCCCGCCTGTGCAGCTGTGGCTGCAGCTCGATCAAAGCTAGTGTGGGTACGTCTGGAAATTACACCCCAGCGCCAGTGCAGATGTAGCCTCCGTGTGTGATGCCCCAGCACAAGCAGCAGCTTCCTTGGTGTCTGTAGCGGGATCCCCCCAGCGAGCTACAGAGGGTGACAGCACTTGCCTCCACCCGGCCTCAAGGAATCTTTGATGAGGGTGGGTCTATGGATACAGGGGAATAGGGGAGAGTGGAGCCAGGAGGCCCGAGGGGGCAGGAATCTTGCTGCAAGGGGGAGTAGGGCACTGGAGAGCAGCTCAGATGTGCCGCAGGAGAAGGTGGGGCAGCTGGAGGGAAGCACCAGAGCTCCCTGCCTGCTCCATCTAACAGACCTCCTGGGGTTTGGCAGAGGAGCCCCACGCTGCTCGGAACCACGGGGCAGGGTACAAGGCCAGCTCCAGGCTGGCTGGGGCAGTACATGCATGGGGCGCCTTGCTGGGGGCCCCAGGATCCAGAGAGACCTGGCTCCCTCACAAGCTTTGGACAAGCAGTTCTCTTTTCCCATTGCCCAGCCCCCCCCCAGTGAGGGGGTTCCTGTGGGGAAAGGCCCACAGCCTCCTCCATGGAAGCTCAGGTCCCCAGTGCTCACTGATGTCCCATGCTGGGCTTGGCAGAGCTGATGCTGCCTAGCGATATTAATTAACACCATCGGTAACTTCCCATTCATCAGCGAAAGGCTGGTGCCAGGCACTCGAGCTCAGCGAGGGGAGCCAGGCACGGTGATTTCATCCCTCTCCTTTCTCTTGGTTTTGCTGCAGAGTGGTAAATTCCACCCCCCCACACGCGCTTTTGGAATGGTGAGGGATGCTTCCATGATTAGACAGTCATAATTCAGGAAGCCCTTCAAAATTTATAGACAAATTTGACAATGGCCCCAGGTCTAACTTACCAATTCGGAGGCCAATCTGACTTATTTTGTGGATGGAGGAGGGACAGGGGGAGAAAACTTGGTCTAAAAGGGAAACCCACAGTCACAATGGGTGGGCACCACTCAGAATCTGGCTCTTTGCAACCCAGATCCCGCCAACCCGTCAAAGGAGCTAGTCCCCACGGAGGCTGCAGGGAGCGTGACAGCTGCTGAGCAGAGTGCAGAGACAGACGGGTTTGGAGCAATGGCAGAGCTGGCACAGTGCCATTGCACTTGACAGACCTTACGCCCAGGAGGGACAGAGGGTGAGGCCTGAATAAGCAAGAGCGGAAAGGCCGGCAGGCCTGGAGCAAGCTCTCGTACAGGTCCGTGTCTCAGCAGAACAGCTCCATGTCCCAGAGGACAGATCGGCTAATTAATAAACATCAGTTGTGAATGTCTGTATCAGGCACGGAGCTCAGTGGCAAGAAACCCAGCTAGAAATGGAATTAACCCCCACCTCCCTGGATTAACCCTCCCTCCCCAGCCTGCCCCCAGGGCCCTGCCTCCCCCAGCTGGTCTCCAGGCCAGCTCCAGCTGGGGCCATATCCTTGCACTGCAGGCCCCTATGCTCCCGTTACCACAGCAGTGGAAGAAGCCCTGCAGAGAGGGCCTTTGTCAGCCTCTGATGTGTTCTCCCTT